TGTGTGTGTGTGTGTGTGTGTGTGTGTGTGTGTCCCTGGACACACAGGGACAGATATGCCGCTATAAACAGCTACCATGTCCCTGGGTAATAAACAGAGGAGAGGACCTGGCTCATGGCTCTGAAAAAACAACAATGTCCGAGCAGGATCTACACCCAGAGGAGAGGCAGTCTCTAAATAGCAGTTTAATCGTACAATCCCAACTGAAGAACATACCCCAGTGGGTGATGGTGACGGCAATGGGGAAGACGAATTGGTGAGGAGTGGTGTTTGAGGGAACCTTAATTCCCCTGGTGAATCACTATCAAGCATTTATTGCAATAGCATCTGTTGCTCAATGACTTTATAATTGAGAAACTCCAAACATCATTCTGGGCTCTATAAAAACTAAACGCTTCTAATCTAGATCTAGATATCCTGCTGTATTGGGCTGGCTTGTAAAGTCCGAACACAGCAGTAATTTTAATTGTATATCAGTTGTTGTTGTTGCTGTTGTTTTGGTTGCTTGGGAAAAGAATAATTCTCAAACAAGCTGTTGACCAGATGGCATTGATATAGTCTAAATGTTTATTTCTAACAATAATTTAGGTCTAACGCTCAGTCTTCTGCTAGCTCTGTATTGTTCACCACCATCTGCTGTATAAAAATCTAGCTTTTGCAAGACGTTTGACTTACTAGTCTAGCGGCATAAGTACTGCAATCTTTATATTTTGGTAAACAGCTGCCTGCTGTTGTTGGACATAAGATTGATTAAAAGCAAAGCAATGTTTTGGCCACTATTTTTAGGGGATTTTCCACTCTGAATGACACTTTTCCCATGAACCACTAGTTTAGTTCATTCACTGAATAGCTCAACTGTCCTGATATAGTTTTTAAATAAAAACACTTGACCCAGTTCCAGTACTTCTTTTGGAGTTTTTTTTAACCATTTTGCCTTATGACCACCTTTTAGTTGGACAAAACAGTCACTATGAAAACACACCTGTGTAAAGTAAAAAGTTAAGGATTTTAGGCAGATGCAGCCATGCTGGGAAAGCGTACAAGGCATAATCTCTTTACAGACCCCATAGTAAGCTTGGCTGAACCAAGGCTGTGACCCATACCTTGGGCGTAAAAGCTCATTCACACACTATTACTCATCCTACTACTTCACTTCATCCACGCACCCCCCACGTCCACATAGACGCACGCACACACACACGCACTAAAACTGACTCCTATTAAGTGAGGTGTGACTGAACTCACAAATCACACATTGGTGTTAAACTGACATGGTGGACAGAAAGAAATATCATGCCGAGAACATGCACACACAAATTTGGGTTAAATCACACAGTAATATGACTCTTCTTATTGGATAAATGGGAGGTTAGGGAGGTGTGAGGTGTTCAAGGTTAGCTCTGCACAGGGTCTGTTTTAGATTAGTCTGCCATGGTCTGTGGCCTACTGTGTCAGTGGAGCTCTCAGCTGTATTGATGGGTGCAAGGGTTATGACAGCAGAGAGAAAAACTTGGCAGCCTGTTCCTCCATTGCCTTCCCTCAGAGGGATACTGGTCAGCACGCTCCCACCCCTCCTTTCTCTCCCCACTAGCTCTGAATTCCCCAATGAACAACACATTCCTCCTTCCCAGTACCACTGT